GGTGATGATGGTGATGATGGTGATGATGGTGATGATGATGATGATGGTGATGATGGTGATGGTGATGGTGATGATGGTGGTGATGGTGATGATGGTGATGATGATGATGATGATGATGATGATGATGATGATGATGATGACGATGACAATGATGATGATGATGATGATGATGATGATGATGATGATGATGATGATGATGATGATGATGACGATGACGATGACGATGACGATGACGATGACGATGACGATGACGATGACAATGATGATGACGATGACGATGACGATGACGATGACGATGACAATGATGATGACGGCGACGACGACGACGACGATGACATGTAAATACTCCACTCGACAGCCAAACATTGGACACTCTAAAGCCACAGCTCACATGACAACACTGGGCCCAAAAGGCCCATAGTCCTGAAGAATTCAGCAGTCGCCAAGGCTATCTCAATCTCTGATGTGGTCTGGGTTTCTGCAAATCTCCAAATCAAGCCCTCAAACCAGGTTTTTGACCAGTACAATCTATATATAGATCCATATAGTGGATTCTCAACTTGCCCAGTATCTTTGTCCACGTCATCGTTGGGAACCATTCGAGCTTCCAAAAAAAACATGAAACAAAGCTCGATCCCCTTTCCGTTGCCACGGGCCGCCGGGCAGTTATTCTTCCAAACTCATCTGGCAAGGTATCCACCACCTGCTTAGCCACTGGGAGGGGGGTTGAGGTGAATCATTTCCAGCAGTCCATGACTCAGTGGCCAAGTCCAGTCTAAGGGCAACAATTTCTGTTTTGCCGAAGGGTTAGGTCCGGTATGAAATTTTCGAACCATTTCACCTGTCAAAAATGGAGCTTACCCCTCTCTCATGAGCCAAGAATTTGAAGTTGGAACATCTCAAGTCCAGAAAATTCACCCAGCCGTTGATTCTGCTGCAGAATGACCTCCCCACAGGTGATTTTCTATACCTGCACCCATTGGGCCTCCCCGTGTGCGCCGTTGAGCTCGGGTCGTCTTCGAATTCCGGAGACCGTGACCTCAGTGAAGAGGTCACACGCAAAGCACCATGAATTTTTCACCAAGAATTGCCATTCCTGGAGCAAATCATGAAATGGATAGCAACCCCCAAAAAAAAATGCAGAAATGTCATGTCCGAATTCAAAAACTCTCTTCGAAACTGAACTAGGGTTCCATCTTTTTGGGAGTTACGTAGAATTGGTTGAGTAGAAGTGTTCCCCAGATATTTTGAAGAGACTTTACATGACTGTGGCATACCATCTATCCGGGGGATAAGACCGGCTACCCCGAGCTCCGCTGGTTTTCCGGAAATCTTCTCATCATCTTCCGTGGTTTTTAGTCGTAAATCAGGGGGTATCACCTCATTTTTCAGGTTGCTTACATAGCCCATTACCCTCTCTGGTAAACATACAAAAAGCTATTGAAAATGGCCCAGTCGAAATCGTTGATTTACCCAGCTATAAAATGGTGATGTTCCGTAGTTTTTTGTATGTTTACCATAGCCCATATCCCATGATATCCCCTAACCTCATTGGTTCTATGGCTAAAACCCATCGTTGGTCTCCAGGCAATGTCCCCATTCGAAGGAGCTCGGTAGAAGGGTCCACCTTCCTGTTAGAACCGGCGTTTTTCAGGATGCGACGCCACCGGTATGAAAGGTGGGATTGGTTGAAGGGAAAGCTCTTAAGGGGGATATGTCATGGGTATATATACGAGATACAACCCACAATATGATTGTCCAACAGCTGGAAGACTTAGGAAACCCGGTGGTTTTTGACCATTGAAAATTGGTCCCATTCGACCTGGAGGTTGGTAATGGCCAACCATTTTGCAGTACCATATTGTAGATAATATATGATAATATAGCATTCAATTCACGAAAATCCTCCATTCACAAAACTGATATTCCCATTTTATCTTCCCAGAACTTAAGCTGATTCCCCAGCCTTTGTCTGCGATTCCCCCGCCTCGGGAGGTCCTAAAGGCAGTTGCAAGCTCCTGAGGAATGTTCGTCCAGAATCGCCCCGGTGAGAAGGGTTTGGCTCTGAACCAATGGATCCAAAAAGTATATCTGGTTGGTGGTATACCTACCCCTCTGAAAAATATGAGTTCGTCAGTTGGGATGATTCTTCCCAATATATGGAAAAATAATCCAAATGTTCCAAACCACCAACCAGATATCCATTGGTAATCCAAATATTTAACCAATTTTTATAGGTAATCCAAATGGTATCCATTACTTTTTAACCAATATCCAAGATAAATCCAAGTAGTCCAAATATTTTTCCATGCAGGGATTCTTCCAAATCTTCCAGTTTTGGAGATCATTTTGAGCCGTAGCTACTTCTGAGGCTTTTACCGACTGTTCCGAGAGCATTCAAAGATATTCAAAGCAATAAACAATGTTATTTTTGCAATTTTCCTGGAACTGGGAAACAGGTAAACAGAAAAGCAAACAAAATTCCCGGAGAGTTTGCATCAGAAAGCAATACTATGAATCTCCAATATCGTTTGAATAGCGTCGTCCATAGGTCCCTTGTTTTCAAAAATGATCATCAAATCATTACTTTTGGAGAAAGATATTCACCAGAGTGAGAGATGTCCATGGGAAATTTTTGCAACAATCCAATGTCAAATTTCTTTCATATGTATGCTTACGTTTTCAAGGTTGCCTCTAATCCATTCCCCGATCATATGAAGTAGGTATTCATATCTTCGGAATGGATGACCTTTCAGTTATGGTCATCAAATAGGGTAGAACCCGAGCCATTTGAGTTGCTGGTTGGTGGTTGACCTACCTACCCCTCTGTAAAATAATGGAGGGACTTCGTCACTTGGGATGATTTTCCATTCCCAACTGAATATATTCAATATTGATTAATGGTTATGATATTGGTTACTATATACTGGTTATATATGGTTATAGTTACAATGTGAGGCCCCCAAGATAGCTAAGTTGGTTTATAACTCCAATAACTATGGTTTATGGTATTTATAACTATAGTATTCATGGGGTTTATAAACCAACTTATAACTGGGGGGCCTCACATTGTACTATATGTTTGAAACCACCAACCAGTTCACATCCCCCAATTTCGTTATGGCGCCCTCAACGTTACTTAACTGCCCTGTCCCTTCAAAGGTGAGGCCTCAGCAAGGTGCTGGGAGACTGCCAGGTCAACATCTCCTGGCGTGAAAGAAAGGCCTGCACTTCAGTTGAAGCGAAAAAAACCGAAAAGCCAAGTTTTCTAGGTTGAATGTATGTATATGTATATATATATATATGTATATATATGTATATATATATATATATATATATATTTATGTCATGTGTGTTGATACATATATATATATATACATATAGAGAGAGAGAGAGAGTCATCCTGAAGTAGATAGAATATCGGACATGTTCGATCCTGATTTTCAAAAACAAATAGAAATAGGTTGAATATGTCCAAAACCCACAGTTTTTTTACGTTTTACGTCCCTGTTAAAGTCATTTTTAGACATGTTTGACCCGGGTCTGGAGAAAAATTGAAAAACCACCAAAATCAAAAAACGCCAAAAAATAGATAGAATATCAAAAACCTCTTCGAAACAGTCATAGATCCCACAGCAGCAAATTCCCATATCACCCTCTGATAAACATACAAAAAACTATGGAAAATCACCATTTTCCATAGCTAAATCAACGATTTCGACTGGGCTAATCACCATTTCCATCCATTTTCCATGGCTAAATCAAGGATTTCGACTGGGCCATTTCCCATAGCTATTTTGACATAACCAGAGGGGTACCGGCGTCCTTCTCACAGGCGGCCCTCCAAATCTGATCAAACTTCGCCGGGTCATTTGCCTCGCCCACGACGATGGACCGTTGAGGCGGCGCGGCGAGCTGGCAGGTGTTTGTTTGAACGAAGAAAATAACAATTTGGCATCTCTGTCCACATTTAAAAATGTGAGAATGGTTCTCAAAGTACATTTTTTCAAAAAAATAGAATAAAATAATGAAATAGATGAATTCCTCAAAGTGAAAAGGATCCAAATGTTCGAACATGATGATAACAAAACGCTCAGGAACCTGGCTCGGACTTTTTTTAGTATAGAATATAGAAGATATATTTACCCTTTGGTCATTTAACATAGCAATGGAAATCACAATTTTAATAGGTACATCATCTATAAATGGGTCATTTTCCATAGCCAACTGTTAAATCACCAGAGGGTATCTGTTTTGGTGAAACACGGCAGCGACCGCTTTCCATACTTGAAGAGGCATCGGCGACAACCTCCTCTCAGTGAAGAAAGATTCAACATCTCTGGAGGAAAGAGATAGATAAGATTAGATAAGTCGTGATGTTTCCTGTTGGGAGGTGGAATACCATGGAATACCATGATATGAGATATAAAGTGATTGGTATACCATGATATACCACTTTATTCATCAAGCATCATCAAGCAATGGAAGGATGACATCTATGCCATCCCCAAAGCTGAGGCAAGCACCATGAAGTAGGCTTGGAACTTTTCTCCAGCCGTCCCAAGATGTTACTGCTTGAGAGCCGCCCAGAAATTCACAGGGTTTCGGGCACCATAAGACCAAACAGATGAAGCTGTCATGATTCTGGTTTGCATTACAGCCCTGAAAACTCATATGGAACTGAACAAATATGACAAATTGCAAACTTCAACAGAAAACATCATCTACTAGATCCACTCCATGTTCGCTTTCAGCAGAGTACCAATGGCATACGTCCCTCCAGTCATCTCTGCTTTTTTCGCAATGGGATGATGAATGAAACGTCCTTACTGCTTGGTGAATGGTGAAATGGTGATGCTTGGAGTTTACGGGCTTAACCACATTAACATACATTAAATCATTAAAAAATGAAAAAAAACCTTTGGGTATCATGGGGTTTTCCAACCTTTATAAATCTGGGATATCCAACATTTTCAGACATGCCCCTGTCCCTGGCAGATCGATGTTTTCCGCTCACTGCGCTCAGCTGTACATGGCCCAGCTGTACATTGACCGCGAATCCGCGGTCAGTGCTGCTTGGGTACCCAGCCTCTGGAAGCCATGCGGGCCATGGACAGGCCAAAAAAAAACATGGTCAATGGGGTTAATCATGGTGGATATATCTATAGTTGATGTTATTTATGTGTGTATATATATATATATATATCATATATCAACTTATCAACATGCTTAACCATAATCAGTTTCACGAATCTGGTTGGTTACCCCCAATCCTAACCATGAAAATCCCCTGAGGGAGAACAGTGAGGAGGCGATCATGGTGGATGGGCTGGATCTGGGATGCACTGCCAAGGCGCGCAAGCGAACTCCTTTCTTACCTCGGTCGCGTGGGCCAACGCGACCATGGCTTTGGCCACGGTATGCCACGGCGTGGCCAAGGTACTGTAGTACTGTGATGGCTTCAAGCCACTAAAATCGTTGTTGTGAAGGGCACATCTTTGAAATTAGAGTGAATATTATATATATATATTATGTATGTATGTACGTATGTATGCATTCGCTGCCTACCCCAAGATTCTCAGACTACAAATTCAAGTTGTATACCTGGATCGCTACATTTGCCATCATTGAACAATATGTGGGCCTCCTCTTTTACTACCCAGGGACGATGTTCTGAGTCCAACAGACTCAAAGTCATCTGGTCAACTCCATGTCAGTTCATGTCCCTCTGATCCACAATAAACCATCCCAATTGTCAACCATTTGGGGGCGCGTAAATCCTCAAGGCCCAGTTTCGAAAACTACTAGCGTTGGGAGTGGTTTGTGGCATCCCCATTCATCACAACAGAGGGTTCCATGCGAACCCACCCATAGCATCATCCCAGATTAATGTGTGTTGCTTTATGATTAATTCATATTATATCAACATATATTAACATATATTAACATATATAAACATATCATATATATATACTATAAAATAACCCCATAAACCCACCATCGAGTAGCTGGATTTCTTGGCTCCGCCGGCTTTGGGCGCAGCACTAGGAATTTCACTTCCTGCGGGAAAGCTTTGCAGGGCATGTTGGGGTCCAGAACCTTAACAAATTGGATTGCCTAGATGCTTCAGATATATGGATTCTTCATGATTCTTCCAGTTTCTGAGAGGGCATGAAAACCCCTAAGGAAAACCTTCCAAAATTCCATTTGCGAAAGGTGTCCTTGCTGAGTGTTTTTGCAACCCTTTTGCAGGGCTTTGGACGAATCTACCAGAAATGTCGGGGCGCCCTTGTTGCTAGAGGCGCTAACCACCTGGACGAAACCTGCGTATTTGGGCTGTGCATGGGGGCGGGGTGGAGGTGGTGGGCTCTTGATGCTACGGTCGTAGTCTCTTGGGGCAACGATGTGTCAAGATCTTGGTTTCCAGGACATGCCGAAAAGCTTCAGTATTGATCTGCGCGTGTTTTTGATGCATGTTCACCATAGAGAATATTTGAACGTATACCTATATAACCTATACAATTGAGTATGTGTATATATATATATATATATTATATATGATATGTATTAAATGGTTGACGGCAGATCTAGCTGCATCCGATATTATATGTCCACGAAATTCGAAAGGAAATGGAGCTCGGCCTACACTCGGGAGCTCGCCCAAGATTTCTTGGCTCACCTGGGATTTGAAGAATGTAAGGACAGAAAATGTCGTTGGCATTGAAACTGTCCTCAAATAATGGGGACATAATGGGGACTTAGAAGTATGCCATCACTGGAATATACCAACTATGTATGAGAACATTGGTTTTCTCTGAGAAGTGGGCATACCTAGAGTTCATGGCAATTTGAAAAAATGATGATGTAACTATGATTTTTGGGTTACTTTCAAACCAACCAACGAAACGATACGAACAAACCACAACCGATATCTCCATGGCATCTTTGCTGAAGGCTAGTTGGCATTAAAACTCTTCCCTACTGGCCAAAAATCGGATGACTTCAGACTCTTTGCCCAACAAGATCCGGATCGTACAGCACCAAAAAAAAATTATGTGGGTGGAAGTGGGGGACCTCCAAACCAATGGTTTACCCTACAAAAAGCATTTACAAATTGGTGGTTTCAACCCCCTTGAAAAATATTATATAATCAGATTGGATCATCATCCCAACTATTGGGGAAAATAAGAAATGTTCCAAACCACCAACCAGTTTAAATAACTCGGTGTCCACGCAAAAATGGAAAAACACACACCCCTCTTCTACCAGCTCTACCAGGTCCACCGCTTTCCGGTACCGGAGCCACCATCTTCAGCTGCTGGTAATGCTCCAGCGGCTCATCGTAGGCTGCGAAGCAGGGCTCAAAGAGCGGACAGACCTGGGTTCTAATCCCAGGAAGTGACCATGAAGTCACGATAAAATCACAAGATTGGTTGGCTAAACCTCATTATATCCCAGAAACTCCCAAAGCATTCGATGAAATCTCACAAAAAATCAGCATCAAACCCATGAAAAGCCCTGGGTTTTTGCGATAAAAACACATGAGGTCACCATAAATTCAGCATGTTTGTTCCAATCCCTCCATCCACCTCTTTAAAGGTCGCCGCGTCGTCCAGCGTGATCAGTTGACGCTCCAAGAGCAGATCCACATAGTGTTCCTGATGTTGTTTTTTCCGGAGACTTTCTGATGAAATACCCTCTGGTAAATTAACGTAGACCCTAGCAGTCATCGGGGTTGGAAGACTAGTTTCCATTAAAAATTGGTGATTTTCAGGGTCTATGCTTATTTACCAGAGGGTAAGTAGAAAAACATGGGTCATTGAACATGGCTATGAATCAAGGGGTGACAGCTTTGGAGATTCTTCAAGAACCATGGCAACAACAGCAGCAAAGTGGAAAAACATTGGAAAATAGAAGGGAATCATATGTTTCACTGAAACTTTCCGATGAAATAAGTGGAAAAACATGGGAAATGGGAAACATAAGTGGATTTTCATGGGAAATTATATATTGGAAACATAGGTTTAATATCATCACCTATTTTTGGGGGTGGGGACCTGGGGGGTCAACGTATATCTACCTGGATACTTGGTTTGTCTGCCGCTGCCACCCGGACGGAAAGCACGGAAAGCATTGCGCGAATCAAAAATACTGGTTGGTGGTTTCAACCCCTCTGAAAAATATTAGTCAGTTGGGATGATTATTCCCAACTGAATGGAGAAAAATAAAAATGTTCGAAACCACCAATCAGATATATATATATATGATTATATATGCTAGCCCCCAAAAAAAAATGTTGACATGGTATTTGAATGAAGTGGTGTCTGCCATATGCGTTTGTCAGTGCGAATGCTTGGGAGATGTTCAAGCGCGTGAAATATCGGTATGTCTTGCTATATGTGAGAGAAGCACAAGACAGACATGTTATATTTAAAAGTTTGCCTGCAGGGACACAGCGAATGTAAGGCCAAAGCCATGTCACGTTGTGTAATGTAGCAGACAATGTGTGTGACATCGTTTCAGAAGAGGCCATATAATATAGTGATGCATTATTTTCGACATGTTTTGTATTGGCAGGACTTAATTTGTTCATATTCAAGAAAAAGAATCATTGGCATTATGTAGAGAAGGTTTGCTGCGTCAAGCAAGAACATGCTTCACATCCACTCCTGTAGCATTTTTTGAAACAATCTTGTGAATCGTGCGAATCTTGCAAGATTATGTTTGCAGCATGAGGTGGTACAGACTGCCTCCACCCATCCCAACTGGCAACCAAACCAGTGAGAATTCAGGATATCTAAGTCTACAAGGTGGTGCCCTGGGTTTACAACCCCCAAGTTCCATATATCGAGATATCCAGCAAAACCCTAGAACGACTGTGGTGTATTTCGCGACTTCGTTAAGGACCTCAGGAACCATCACTGGTTGGTAGCTGATCTGAAAAATATGAGTTCGTCAGTTGGGATGATGACATTCCCAACTGAATGGAAAGTCATAAAATTCCATGGTTCCAAACCACCAACCAGATCACCGCCATCCTCTATGCCATCCCCAACCGAGCTTCGAAGCAGCCGCGTGCTTTCAGCATCTGGGCTTCAGTGAGCTGTCCACCTGCATCTCGGGCCTCTTGCCTTGGTGTGGCCAACTAGCTACGAATCCTAAGTAGGCTATACCAGGTTGGTTCACCCTGGTTTTTCCAGTGGGGCAAGTAGTAGGGTTAATCCACTTATTAGGTTGAACTAACCTACGAACACGATTCGTGGGATGAGCCACGAATAATATAAATATATAAAACAGCAATAAATTGTGTTTACATCTTTGGCAAGTCAAACACTCACCTGACAGCTTTCTTTGGATCTGATATCGCTTGGGTATGGCTCCATATCGCAGAGTAGCCATTGAAAAACAATTTTTTTTGCTGGGCAGATCCGCCGTGCAAGCTGATTTGCATATTTTAAACATGTTGGTCATGTTGGTTGGCTCCCTATCTTTGACCCAGATCATACCAGGCAAATGACTTTTGTTCGGAATGATTCCTTCAATCAATTCATCACTCAGAGGTTTTCAGGTTTTTGTGCAAGGTCGCCATCATTTACCCTCTAGTAACTCTAGTAATTTGTTACACTTTGCGAACTGGAAAATCACCATTAAAATTTGTACAGTAGTAGAAATCGATCATCGAACTTTCGAACTGGTCCGTGGTTTCCGCCGAACTGGTCCATGGAATTCCCATGGTCCCCATAGTTCTGATGGTTTTGAGTAGTTGAGTTCCCAGATTTCTCCAGAACTGTGATGGTTTTTCCAGTCCGCAAAGCCCAGAAATGACTGGAGGCTACTTGGTGACTCATCTCGACTCCGTAGGTTGGTTCACCCTAGTGGATTGTTGGATTAGGTCTAACTGAAAAAACATCCGGGTGAACGAACCTGTTATCCCCTACTTAAGTCTACTTACCATACAACAGTTACCCTACTAGAAAGTATAGTAGGTGATAGTAGGTTATAGTAGGTTATATGAAGTCTACTTAACTGATATAGTAGTCCAATGTAGTCCACTATTTTATTAACCCATTATAACCTATTATAACCTATTATAACCTTCGGATTTGTGGCGACTTCCCCACTTCCGTCTCAATCATCCAAGCAACAGGACGCCCAGGATCTCCTCGTGGCAACTCGTGGACCTGGTGGCAACAGGACCTCCCCTGGTGGATTTCGCATAGCCAAGACGAAGACGGTCCGTTTATAGATGAATTATGATTGATAGATTAGATAGATTAGATAGATTAGATAGATTAGATTTGATTGGATTAGATTTGATTGGATTAGATTTGATTGGATTAGATTTGATTAGATATATATATATATATGTTTCAAAAGAGGAATTGTCCATAAGAACTAACAGCTCGACTTTCCCAGCAAAAATTTCGCGCGATCTTCAGGGTCCATTTTATATTTTACTGGCAGGCATAAGCTTTATAGCAACCCCCAAAAAGAGTCTTTAAAAAAGTTCAATAGCAACCTCTAGTTTGGATATGGATGTGACTTTTCTATCAACTCTAAAAAAGTGTATTGGATAGATAATATCAGATATATTAGTCATTGATCAGTTGAATCAGAATTCAGTATTGGATTCAATGCATCACGGCTATGACCACAATCGGTATTGTGATTTTTTAAAACAAAATGATCATGATGATAAGAAAATCAGCAAATGGCAATGATAACACTATCTATGATTCTGACCATGTTGTTTAAGCTTAAAAACATGCGGGAAAAAAAAACGATGCATGGGGATTGTATTGTATCATAATACGATGATTTAAAAAACAACTGTAACAAAAGTGTTACCCCAATTTTACGCCATAGACTTCAACCATCCAATGGCTGTCAATTCCCGGTCCGAGCGTCTCGGGCAGAAAGTTGAAACGAGCCAGTAAGATACATTGGCCCATCATGTATCTTCCTGGATGGCCGGTCACGGATTTTTTTGGGGGCTCAATTTGGGGATTTGTCAACTCCGGATGAGTGAGACTAAACCATGGTTTATGAAAATTGTGGGGGTACCCACAATTCATAGTCACAATATGATACATAAATGGTATCGCCCCCAATTAAACAGCCTAGGGGTTTACTAATCCAGGGTTGACATTAGGGAGATTTTCACCAAGCATCCGAAGGCCCGGAACAAGGTCTCTGCGCAGCTCCGCTCCTGCTGCTGCTGAAAGATGGGCGCAATCCGCCGCGCGAAGACGTCGCGGAAGGCCGACCACACCAGGGCCGCGCCGGAACTGGTCTCGGTGGTCTCGGGGCCGTGGCAACCCAGGCGGGTGGCAAATTCCTGAGACTTTCGGTGAGGTGAACACCTGGGAAAAAAAATGGGGTGGGTTGGAACATGTTGGAACTCAAGAATCAAGAAAACTTGTGTTTTTGGCCTGCAAAAATGGCGGCTTACCCGATTTTTAGCTGGCGTTAGCAAGGAAATTGTGAGCCGCATTTCGTTTGGTCGTATATGGGGCCTTGGGGTGCATACGCGGAGGCAACGCGGATCTAACTGAAAGGCAGGCTTCCCAGAGACTACTCGATGAAACATGTTGTCAAAGAATCTTTATCATCAAAACATATCAAGATTGGTTTAAAGCACCAAGAACGCAGGGAATCAACAATATACCGGAAATATCGCCCGCAAAATAGCTACGTCATCAGTCAAGACCAAACTCACGGAAAGAAACTCAACCGACTTAATATGACTTACAGTAATCATTCAACATCCCTGCGCCCATATCCTCAGTGAATTGAATATTGCCAATGCCTATATATGATTATATATACATATATATATATAATTATATATATACACATATATATATACATATATATATATACATATACATATATATATATGGGTTTTAGGGTCAAAATTGGGGTGCCCAATACATGGATGATCAATACTCAAAGGGTACTGAAGTCTGTGGGTCGGGGCCTTAAATAAGTTGATCCACAGACATATTCTGATGAAAATCATCACTTTCTAACCTCCTTTCCTCCCAATCCCCATGATTTCTGATATTTCAGCTCGTTAAATCAGAGAAATCGCTTTGGATATCCCAGTTTCACCTTCAAATCTCCATGAACAGTGTGAAAAAACCCTGTGTCGTTGCTTTCTACTGCTTCATTGAGAAAGGGAATCCCCTAGTGAATGGATTCTGATCATCCCATATATAAAGGTTAGTATATCCCAAGCAAAATCATCAACTAACCGGGTTTTTGAACATTCCTCAGTTAGAATAGTGTGTATAAGAGTAACACGTAATAATTACTGTTATAGTTACTATACTAACTATTCTACAATGTCGTGACCAATTATAACCACACACTTTCCCTTTATACTATAGTTGTCTATAGTTACTATACTAATCCATTTCAAGGGGATTGTACTATTCTGTATGGGTAACTAGCATCATAGTTCATAGTTCTCATAACCATAATGAGCAAAAAACCGTACAACCATACATAACTATACATAACTATTATTCATGTCAATAAAAATCAATAAAAGCAATGTCATAAATCACCCTATTAAAATAAATGGCTTATATATATATATATATATACACCCAAAAAAATGGTCAACGTTTTTTGGGGGGTCCCCATGACTTCCTCCACGGCTCTTCCACCGTCAGCAGCTCCTCCACCGCGCCCTGCCCCTGCGGCCCCTGCTGCAGCAGCTCCCGGATGGGCTCCGCCAGGCTCCACCAACGGCGCAGCTCGGCGCCGCGCGCGGCCATGCTGCGGTAGTTCTGGGAGGTCCAGCGGAAGTCCTCCACGAAGAACGGCATGTACTTCCTGGGAAAAACGGAAGAAAATCCTGGGTGAACATGATCATCCATGGTATAGATGGTTCATTTATAGATGGTTTACCTATTAAGAATGGTGATTTTCCATGGCTACAAAGTGGGGCCCCCTAAAACGATAGCGTGCTAAGTTGGTGAACATAACTCCAACTTAGCTATGGTTTTAATGGTACCTATAACGAACTAGTATTCATGGGGTTTATAAATGAAGATTATCATCCAAGGATATGAAAATCTATATCCATTAATGGATAATCTATGGATATTATCCATAGATGTTGAAGCATCTAAGGTAAATGGCTAACATTGAAGCATGTTCCCAATTGAACCATCTACTTTTTGTTGCATCAAAAATTGGGATCTCACCATCAACAAAGGGGAGCATCTTAGGGAAATTGATCATCCGTTGACAATTTAAGATGTGGTGCGGAGAATCTTTTGCAGAGTTGTGTGAAAAATTTGGGAAATACGTGCTGAACATATGGGAAAATGGCTAAAACATGCTAAAACAATACCTGTCGGTGGGATTTTTGAGGTAACCAGGTAAATGTTTGGATATGTCAACCAGCAGTTTGGCAGTTTGATCGTAGGATATTCAAACCGCTCCAAAATTTCCGGCGGTTTCGACTGAAGTCACACTCGGTACCCATTCAGAATGGGATGGTGCTTCGAACTGTAAAAATAAATAAATAACCCCAAGTTTGTTAATGAAAATGAGGTATACCGCCAATTACCCATGACGGATCCATGGTACTGGTATATTAATGCTAACATGACTGGGGTATATTGATGGTAAATATGCCATGTTATCGGGAAAATGCTGGGATTTCACCAGTGATTCACCGATTTCAGGGGTATCAACTGGTGATGCTGCTCCCGAGCCCAAAAGTAGGGGACAGTTATCGCAAGGGAAGTGATGGGATCCCTAACTTTAGGAACTTTCCATATAGTAGAAGTGATTGGGCACCAACATATATATATATAATTATATATATATACAAGTATATAATAGTATATACAAGTCAACTGTCAAAAATATCCTCCGCTCCAATTCCGTTCCGGCATCTCCTGTGTCCAAAAATATGAGGAAATATGAGGATCCAGAACTTTGACAAAGAAACTAGGATAGGTCGCCAATAAAATAAAAAGACTTCAGACTTATCTCGTACTTCCTGTCTCGTGCGGGGATAGGTCGTCGCAGACCCGAACATCTGATGAGGTGCAGTCATTTGCAAAAATGCAATCTGTTTTTCCATGTGAAACCCCATCCAGTATGTGACAATCCAATTGCAATAGTTTGGAAAAACAGCAATCGTCAGGTCTCTTTTTTTGGTGGCTTCCCATGTTTTGGTAGTTGGTCAATGTCCAAGAGACTCCTTGAAGTCTTTCAAGCACTCCGGTTCCAGCTCATCCTTCAACAGCTCTCGGTATCTGGAATCATCTCCCAGCAGGCAGTAGGACACGTTCGCTTCCAGCAGGGCTCGAAAGACCGACAGAAAATGCTCCGTGGAACCCGTGGAACCCTCGGCGAAGGGGTCCTAAGTTGCGCCCGCCTTGGGGGGGCGGTTGGGGTGGTGCGGGATGACATCGGTGACTTTCAGAAGGGTCGAACCAGTGGATCTTTATAAGTTAGGATATAACGTCCGTTAGTAAGCATAGTATAACCATAGTATAACCATGTTTCATAGTGATAACCAGTGCATAGTATAACCACTAAGTTCATATCTATATATAACCATTGGGATTTTTGTAACTATGAACTGAGGAGGACCACCAAATTAAGCATCATAGTATAACCCCTGTAAGTTGGGAATATGACATAACCCCCTATAAGTTCTTCGTAGGATATAATCCCCTGGCTATTGAATATAGCTTTGGAAAATCGCCCATTTACTTCAATGATAAAAATAATCATTTACTTTTATCAAAAATGGCGATGTTCCAGCTATGTTTAATCAACCAGAGGGTAAGTAATGTGGTAAAGCCCAAAATTGACCATAACCCCAACTCAGTTGGGATTTTTCACAGCCCTTGAAAGTTCTTCACAATCCACTTCATCCACTTAATCCACTGGTGCAAGTGGGATTTTTCACCACTGAAGAAAGGTCCCAGGTTCAAGGCCGCAGTGCCGGAACAAGGGCCAGATCTTCCGCTTGGACCAGTCGTACCTTTGCGCGCCGGGGCCAAGGCTTTGGTGATGGGAAACATGAAGAGCACAGAAAAGTTGAAAAAAATGGAAGAAATGTTTAAATATTCCATCTTCAATATTAGAAATATTTTATTAAATGGAAAAATGGAAGATGGAAGATTTTATTAAACCATGTTTAAATATGCCTAAGCTTCATTCTGGACAGAAATGGTGGAAACCATGGTGAAACTCTTCACTTCAAAACCCCAGACCAGCCGCTCCACTCCACTTCGACGGAGATGTTCCACAAAGAGCATGTCTGCGAAGACCAACCTTGGGCAGAGAGGTTACTGTCATGGCTATATCCATTATAACCATAGTGAACTGAACTCCCATAGCTTGGGATCTAACCCGATTTTTTTTGTTGCTTGTAAGTTGGGACAAACCCATAGTTCACTTGTAAACCCCATAAGTTGGGAATATGGTGGTTTCCATAAATGGTGGTACCCCTAAATCATCCATTTTTATGGGATTTTCCCTTATAAACCATCCATTTTAGGGGTACCCCTATTTTAGGAAACCCCCATGATTAAGATTGTATATCCACTTAGTTCATTGGAACTGCACTTCCAAGCAGTATTGGTTGGCCATGCTAGGCCCCAGTTGACGTAGGGGATGTGGGGAAGTACCATGTTCATCAATCTTCACTGATTTCAGGGACAAGCTGCCCAGCAGCCATCCAACACCATCCAACATCGGTTTATCTCGGGCTGTGGCACAACCCTGAAAATCCTGAAAAAATCCTCACTCTCCCGTTTGGAGATCTCGTAAACTATAAGTGGTCTTCTTGTAAGACTCACCAGCTGAGCCGTTGCCCAAAACTCTCCGCCATCCCCTACGTCAACTGGTTGAGGGCAGAGGTCCTATAAAGATGTTAATAGCACTCTTCGTGAAACCTCATGAAACAAATCGTAAAGTTGAACCACTTACAAGATCTTACCAGTAGCAAAACCCAACAGTAACATCAAGTCATCCCTTCCCATTCATATTAAACACCCCAAACCAAAAACATGCTTCAGTAGGGGGATTTACACAAACAAAAAAAGTTGGGACATGTTGGGGCCATAATTACCATCTGGTTATTTAACATAGCCATGGAAAATCCCTGATAAATGGAGGTTTCTAGCTGGGAAAATCATCTATTTCTATGGACCATCTATACCATGGCTATGTTAAATAACCAGAGGGTATATATATATAATATGTGTATATATGTTTTATATTGATATCACTATTGACATAACTATAGTTTTTAAACATATGTGTTTTTTGGGGGGGATGTGCTTCACCATCCTTCACCATCAGCTCAGCACCCAGGCAACGTGATCGCTTCGCTCAGCATGCGGTAGATGATGTAGAGCCGTCGATGCAGGGGCGAGTCCTCCGTGAACAAGAGATCTGGGAGCCTTCAGCGAAGCCGGAGGACCCGGACGACGACTGTTGCCATTTTGGCATCCAAAGGGGTGCCCTTTTTGGCTGACCAAAATCTTTGGAAGTCGAGAAACCATGGAAGTTGAGAATCATGTTTGTGTTGAACGGATTTTTTTTGAAGTGATCGTCCAAAATTTATCAATCTATGTCGCACAGCTCTGAGTTCTTCCGGATCCCAGGGGAAAGATGACCTACCCTCCAGCCACGCCAAGCTGCAAGAAGTGCGCTAGATCATGGGCTTGGAAGGTTGCCTCGACGAGGATTTTTGTTGGGGCCCGGGGTGGCCCTTCATGTCAACCCCAGACAAACTCAATATACCGGTCTGGGTCCAAACCCCAGGTGAACCCTAGAGTAACTGGGATTGATGGATGCCATCTCCATATAGCTGATTACTTTTGTTGGTCCGCTTTGGTATAAAACTATCATTTGTCACAGGCAACACCCTCAGACCCCATCACCCAAAATCTCAAGTTTCATGGAGGTCAAAAGGTGGCAAGCCACCTAATTGGTACGTCTACCTTGGTACAGAAAATCCAGTTCAGTTTCCACCATGAAAAAGAACGGCGGCAAATCCCTCAAAACCTGCATTCCATCCACATCACATTCTCATCTGCATCTATCTGTTTCATATTGTTTCATATTATGAATATTACCATCCTTTAAACTCAAACCAAAATATCATACTGTTGCAACATTATGATACCAAGATCATCTCCAGCTACACCTTCAGCCCCAGCGCTTCCAACCCGCCTCGTGGACGGCATCGTCCTTGGGCACCAGGGGGATGCCTGCGTTGAGCCCCGGCAACCAATAGATGAATTCCCGTCGCGTCATTGCCGCACGCAGCACCAGGCCCTGGTTCAGCACCGAAACGAAGGCGCTGCGAAAGAACGAGGACGAGCAGGTCGAGGTCTCCGTCTCCGGGAAGAGATAGGGATTTCCTGGGAATTCGGACGGTTTGTTTCAGGGAATCACTGGGTTTTCATGGAAAATTGAGCCGAAATCATGGAATTGTCTTTCAACCATCCAAGTTTCACTGGGGTGCAATTTTTTCCCCATACTTTTGGAGGGGATATCTACAGGAAAAGGATGGTCGTGTTCTCTCGATAGTAAACCAAACAAATCACCGGAATGGGATTTTGTCCTGGGCCCGAAACAGAAATCCACCGAAAATCCACCGATTTGTTTCATTCGTGCGATGATTTCCCGTGGCCTTAGGCCGCTCCAATTAGGGAAGGCCACGGAAGGATTTGGTAATAATCTTTGAATCCCACAGGATCCATGGTGCTGGTATATATGCTAACATTGGGGATATATTGATGGTAAATGTTACCATATATAGCATACATGGATCCTATGGGAATGAAAACAATGAAATTAATGATTGTCCACCATTGGATGCACAAATTTAGGATTGTCCATCAATTTTGACAGCAGGCGGCAGCCTGCTGGCATTGAGAGAGACTTGGAGTTTGAAGATGTTTGAAGGATATGGATGCAACAAGGGTATCAACGAAATGGCATCTGAGCTACTGCTGATGCAGTAGATCTAAGCTGACAATATCCGCCACTATCCCAGTATGGTGACACAAACCACAGGCATCTTATTCAGATAACCAGAAAGGTCGATATTGGGTGTGCATGTGCAGCGTTCTGTGCCTCACTGGCCTTCCAGTTCCAGGCTTGAATGATCAATAAAACTTCGCACACCCCTTGCTATCGCGTGTTTCCCCTTGGTTTTGACTTGCTTCATGTGGCCATACAGGACTCAAAAACATTCAAAAACCATCATCTTCAGCTACTATCAGCTACTCAGCTCCCGCTTTCTCCCCCTTTCGCTCGTCCCTCGTCCCTGGCTCAGCATCTTCTGAAGAAGTTCAGCGCCGGAGAGCCGTCGCCAAAATCCACCGCTCGGCTGACCTCCAGGTGGTTGTGACGACAGAGCCGTCGCCGCCGGTAGTGCACGTGATCCTGGAGGTACTGGGAGAGCATCATGTCCCGTGGCGACACCTGCCAGGATGTGAATGACAGAAAAAAAAAAACGGATTTTGAAAGTGGCATAGTCCTTTGGCTTATTGTCTATATATATAATATTATATATATACATATTATATCTATAATATATATATATATTATACTCTATATATATATAAGTGTATTATATATAGAGAGAGAGAGAGAACATCATATAAGTGGATTCTAACCACTCAGCAACTAACTGGCTTCCACACATCCACATTTTTGGGCCCAGCCTTGAAGCCTTGGAGTTTTTTCTCATGGTAAGACAAGCCACTGTACAAATCCACCACCACGTCCTTGGAAATTTGCGGCAGATTGCGTATTTTTATGGGGCAAAGATCCATAGATAGGTCTGCCTATGTCTGCCTTTTAAAAAAAAATGGTTTCTGACCAGAGTTCAACAAAGAACACAGAAGATATGCGTGTACAATTGCACTTTTGGGCATTTGAATATGTTCACCGCAATGTCTTTAGAAGTCTTTAATGGTTGGCTCCACAGACCCAGTTCGGGACGCCGGGCCGCCGAAAAAACCATACCCTCTGGAGATTTAAGGGTTTGCTATGGAAAAAATTGCCTATAATTGATAGATATTGCCTATTTATAGATGATCTATAGATGAAACATGAGAACTACTATTCGAACTATTTCATCTATAAATCATCTATAAATGTTTCAAAGGCAATATCATCTGCAATATCTATAAATAATTTCACCACAATTTGCCTGTGAAAAATGGTGGATGTTCTGACTTCGACTTCCATGAGACCTTCAGATTCCCTTAAAATACCCAAGGTGAAGAGCACCAGTGATTTATATCTGTTGCTTCATAAAGCCATTCACTAAGTGTTGCATCTCCTATTAGGGACCCCGACCTCCACCAAACTCTGTGTCAACTTAGCAAAAAAAAACTCAGTTGAATCCCATGAAAGTCCCCTCTTGGTTTTAACCATTTTGAACCAATGATTACCATCTGGTTATTTAACATAGCCATGGGAAATGGCCCATTTATAGATGGTTTGCCTGGGTTTACCTATTAAAAATGGTGATTTTCCATGGCTATGTTAGTCATAACCAGATGGTAAGCTGATTCATATCCTCATCTCTAATCAAATCACCGGTTTTCGATGCTGGGCCTCACCCTTAAGGTGGCTTAGTCATGCCACGCATGCCACGCGTCATCCCAGTTGAAGACCCCACTGCGATCTTCCCGACGTTTCGACAGGTCAATCTTGGCGTCCATCTCGTGGCGATAGACGAAGACCTCCACCTGACCAGCCTTCTCCTGGTAGGCGGTGAATGGTCGGAAAAAATATGGAGACCATGCAAAAATGTGTGAAACGACCATTCAAAGATTCGGATTTTGCCCACAAAACTGGAGATCAAACATGATTTAATATGATTTCATCAATATATATATATATCTATTAATATGTGGTATCCCCTGCCGAATCCTCCGTACCTGCTCTCCCTTCTGCGACGACCAGCAAGTCAAGGACGCGCTCACGGTGACCGCTTCACCTTGAAACGGGGTTGTTTTCTGCGGCAAACACCGAAACAGACGTGGAGGTGGAGGATTGTTTCCAGGGCGAATGATATGTATATATATATATACAAATATAATATATATATATACACTAATACATTAATATATCTATATGTATATAGAAAAAATGTGTGTGTGTATATATATAATGTATTTGACCATGAAAAATGGAAGCGGCTTCACCATCAAAAAAAATGTGATTTACAGTAACCTGATTTCTTCTATATGTTCAAAACCATTCCAATTCTTGCTCATGTGCACAAATCCTCCAGGTTGTGATAGAGAAAAACAAACTGGAAACCACCGACAAGTGCCCGGAGTTGTGATCTTGTTTGGTTTCATGAATTTCATGCCCATTGTCACAGATTAAATTCCAATCCTTGTTGACTCCAAAACGGTGCCCAGTTCAATCCCGCGTTTTGCACTGTTAATATCCTCCGCTAATCAAACGTGGCAATGGAAAATCGAACATGATAGATGCTTTCAAGGTGTTATAATGGCAAAAACATCTATGAATGAAATAATTGCCATGTTTGATTACCAAGGCTATCATGCGAAATTACGTTGAGTCCCCGTACGCTTCAATCCCCCTATGAATCTGTCCAAAACTGAGGTGTACCCATGTTTACCCCAATGTGTTAATCTCTTAGGGAAAAATGAGATCGCAATCCGTTGGTGTTTGCACCTCAAGCATTGCTGTGGAACAGACTCCATGGTCTCCTGTTCGACTGTCAAAAATTCCCATTCATTATTGCCAACTTGCAATTCCCAATTGTGGCTGGTGAAACTTCAATTCTTCATAGATTTCATAGTCAAGTCATGTTGAATCATGTCAAATCCCCGTGTTTCATGGTAGATCCTGTTTTTAGTGTCAAAATCCCATGTTTTTTTTCCCAATGGACCAAACCCCAAAAGGATGCCTAAAGCGTGTCCAGGTTCCCAGGTGTGCAAGGTTCTATCGACCCAAATGGGGCAAGAAATCCTGCACCGATGGTTTGAAATATCAATAGTGGGATAAACATGGATAAACCACCTAGCCTCTAACGTTTACATAACGAACTGGAAAATCACCATGCTATTAGTGGCTAAATCCACGAACTAAATCACCAGAAGGTATCAACTGCTAGATTTTTTCCACTGCATTTCCACCATGATGTCCCATGGTTTTCCCGGCCAAGTCTCCATCCACCAGCTCCCGGCCCGGCGCGTCGGCGTGTTGCTCCGTGCCACGGCATAGCAGAAGCACCTGCTCGTACCTCGCGACGTACGGAAAACGTGGAAAAACATTGGCAAAAAGGTGGGGAAATACGAGAAAACACGTGGAAAAATATGGCAAAAATTTGGATAAACAAGGAAACATAGGGAAAACCATGGAAAAGGTAAGGATTATTTATGGAAAACAATATGGAAAAGAACAGGAGACAAACATGAAAAATAGATGGACATTGATAGCAAACCTGAAAGTTCGATAGAAAAGTTGAAAAACTTGCAAAAATACAAAGGAAATACATCATCGAACCAACGTCCTGGAAAAACTGTTCTGCATGTAGGAAACTAAATCTGGGGGAAACGGTGAGTTGAGCAATACACATGGAAAACTCGCAAAAATGGATAAACATGATAAGCTGTGAGTTCCAGCGAAAATTGTAGAAAACCTGATAAACCCTGGAAAAAATTGGAAAAAAACAATAGGAAATCAACCACACGTTGCAAAAGCGGTTTAGCCAAACAAGAAGTGGAAGTGGCCGACAATAGTGGTGGTTTTGCGTGGTTTTAGCAGCAAAATGGGGATCTAATCGACAAAAGAAAGGAAGCGGACAACGATGATGATGATGACGACGACGACGATTCTTACAGCGGGGAAAACCTCAAGGAATCGTAGGTTACAGACCCACAACAGGTTTTTTTTCGATGGTAAATGGGAATAGCAACACTTGGCAATGCTGAAAACCATGGGATATCCCTGCCAAAAATGGAACAAATTTAATTTACAGGAAATCCTGATCTATGTGCGGAGCGGACAGACGGCTGTAGCTACACTTGGCACAGATTGATCCATGTCCGCGGTGCCCAGCACATGCCCATATACATTATGGGATATCTTTCAAGTTCCAATCAAACCTCAAATGTTTTCCTAGCGAATCCATGGGTCAACGTGGTGAAGCCAGTTTTTTAACTGGTTTGTAAAGCATAGCTGGTTATACATACCAAAAATGTTCCAGGGGTCTGCTGGATTTGCAAATTGAATTTCGTAAGCCAAGAGTTGCAACGTGCACAAATTTGCGAAATGACCAGAGTTGACTCCGAAAATACGAATGGCAGCATCCCAAACGCTTTTGTTCCCACCGATATTGTGCGAAATTCAACACACAAGCGAATTTAACATGTCAAATGAAAAGGTTCGACCCAAAAAATGTTTGGATACGTAAAGGTACTTGCATATACATGCATATACATTTCTAGCATCTGCTGGTCACTTGATTCCAAAATATCGACCCTTTCCCACATCATTTTTCCCTCCTGGTAAACCATCCGAGAAACATCACAGACTTGGTCCAAAACTTTTCGTTGTTCTGTTCCAAGAGTTTC